TCCTACCAATGACACCCAATCAGAGTATTTATTTCCTCTAGAGCCGATTAGAAATTTAAATTCAAATCCTCCTATCACATCCAATCAATGCAAGTCTTCTCACCCTCACAAAGCTCCCTCATGGACCAAAGATTACATTTTCTCTCTTGTTGACACTAAAATTGTTTGCCTTTTACCAACTTTTCTTCCAGAGGCGGTCTACAAAGACATTAACAAAGGTAACATTAACTGATGTACTTCTTCTATTTTATACCATATTTCTCAATTCATATGTTATGATAGCCTTTCATCTCACCATAAAAACTTTATTACCAATATTACTTTCCTCAATGAGCCTAAGACCTATAAAGAAGCTATCCTTGATCCTAAGTGGCGAGAAGCCATGTCAGCTAAAATCAAGGCTCTTGAACAAAATAATACTTGGATCTTTACTTTGCTAACCCCTGGGAAGAAAGCTATTGGATGTCGTTGGGTGTAGAAATTGAAATATAACTCGGATAGTTCTCTTAAGTAATATAAGGCTCTTTTGGTTATCAAATGATACACTCAGGTTGAGGATGAGGACTACCAAGAAACTTTGCTCCTGTTACCAAAATGACAACAGTTAGAACATTATTGGCAATAGCAACATCCAAATGGTGGACTATTTCTCAACTTGATGTCAATAATGTGTTTCTTCATGGTGATCTAGATGAAGCTATTTATATGCATATAACCTCCATCAAGCTTTTACAGTTAGGAGGAGTCTCTTGTCTGCAAACTTTAAAAAATCACTATATGGTCTCAAGCAAGCAAGTAGACAACGGTTTTCTAAATTCTCTCAATTTTTACTTACATTGGGGTCTATCTAATCTAAGTGTGATTAACTCATTGTTCATTTTACCTTAAGGTTCTTATTTTATGGCCATTTTAGTATATGTGGATGATGGTATTATTATTACAGTCACTAACTCCTTCTATGTTGCTCAAGTCAATCATCAACTCAATTCTCAGTTCAAGATCAAGGATTTTAGCGAAGCCAAGTATTTTCTTGGCCTTGAAATTGTCCGTTCTACTGCTAGTATTCATATTAATCAGAGTAAATATTCCTTAGATACATTGAAGGATGCTGGGCTACTTGGTTCCAAGCCTAGTCTCTTACTAATGGATTCCAATATAAAGCTTGATAACAAATCTGGTATACCACTTTTCATTCTCTTTACCACAGACTCATCTACCTTACAATCAGCAGACCGAATATTTCTATCCTGTTCACATTTTGAGTCAATTCATGGCTATTCCACGATGGCAGCAGCGAATAAAATCTTACGCTACATAAAAGGTACAGTAGGCTAAGGTTTATTTTTCTCTACTAGCAATGATCTTACACCCACAGTCTATTGTGATGCTAGCTAGGCAGCTTGTCCCTTGACCCATGGCTCCATATCTAGTTTTTGCATCACTCTCGGAGAATCCTTGATCTCTAGGAAAACCAAAAAGCAAACGACAATTTTGTGAAGCTCTGCTGAAGTAAAATATCGTTCCATGACCTTGGTTTGTTATGACATAGTTAAAGAATTTACTTACTGATATGTCTGTTTCCATTGATTATTCTACCTCTCTCTATTATGACAATCAAGCTTTATTACACATAGCTGGCAATCCAATCTATCATGAATGCACCAAGCACATTGAACCAGATTGTCACTTAATGCGTGAAAAGCTACAAGATGGTTTGATCAAGACCTTCTATATTCCTACAAAACGACAACCACCCGATATGTTCACCAAAGCCATATCTCGTGATCTTCTTTCTCAACACATGTCCAAGTTAGACGTTCTCAATCTCTTCTCACCACCTTACTTGAGGGGGAGTGTAACAGCAGCACATATTAAGGATTAGATTTTTTTACTGATTTATTGTAATTATATTTGATTTGTGATAATTGTGACTCTTTATTGTATTAGCTGTAAATACCATTTTTAGAGTATCTTAATTAGAAAATTATTTGATGTAATTTCTATTTAAAGGCTGATTCTAGCTAAAGGAAAGATCAATCACAAATATTATTTTCTTTATAGTTTCACATATTGTTATTGTAGCTTTAAATCAGGGTAAAACACCAACATCAACCTCCAATCAACTTGTTTTCTTCATTTCTTTATAGTTTTCTTCATTTTTAGAGAGAGATTAAGGTTAAAAGAGAGAAAAATTGATTAAATCGGTGTGAAATGTTCAACTGGCATTATGGTGGATTTATTTTATATATATAGGTATGTGAGTCTTTTTTTTTTTTTTTATGGAAAAAATAAAAGTCAAAACTTGAAGATGTCAAGGATGATATTCAGAAAAAAGAGATGCAAAATATTTTTTCCATCAAAACATAGGATGGTTATCATAATTTACCCAAAAAAAAAAAAAAAAAGACAGTGCACGTGTGTGAAACAAACAAATTAGCAACCAGATAAAGGCTATTGTGAATAATTTACTAATAATGAGAACGTAATCAAGTTGTATCGGTATCTAAAACTCTATTTGCCACGAAAACTTCCTGTATACTGAATTACAAAGAAAGAATGAACAAGACTACAAACCAAAGTAACTACATTTCCTGGAAGACAATGTTGTAACACCTTTATCTGCGAAAGGCCGAAACAGTTTATCCTAAATCTTTTTGATGAGTTGTTTTTTAATTAATCCAAGTTCTTCCTATTGAATTGGTCTTGGGAATGTAGTTTTGGCATTTCTTATTTTGTTTACTGAAAATTACAAATAGAAACACGTGAAATAAGGACAACAATTCTTGACTTCTAATCCCCTCCATAACCTGCAAGTAGAGAAGTCTGCTTCTTGTGTTATAAAAACCAAAAACTTATGTTGTTTCTTGATTTTTCTGCTTCTTCTTATGTGCATGATTATTCCTAAGGTCGTAAATCCTCTGTTTGTTTGAACAGTTGGATGTGTCTTCTCCTTGGCTGACCTGTGACAGAAATTTATTATTGTCTTGGAGTCCTATAGCAAGTACCTGAAAAACAAAGTCCTTCTCTTGGGTTTTGAATGACTATTTAATAGTTAAGGTAGCATATGTAAAAAGATGTTTGGCCTAATTAGACTTACTAGTATATTTTTTTAGGTACATGACCTAATTAGACTTAGCAATATACTATTTATTATATGGGGAGAAGATAATAGAGTACTTGTTGTATATTATGGAGCGTGTAGAAAGCAAAAACTTTCACAGTTGTTCCATTAACATTTTCATAGGAGAGTCCAACATTGAGATGGACATGTCCCCATAACAGGACTGCGAGTGGTCTAGTTATGATCATTTGCTATGGAGGTTCCTTATAACGTGGGAGGGGATGTATTTGCCGTAAGAATTGTGCTCCTTGCATCATGTTTCGTGGAGTATGATGTCTACGATGAGACTAAGTTATCGTGATCTTTTGAATAAATCCAAAAAGGCAGCTCTTGTCATGTCTTCGAGATTTGTGTCGTTTTTTTTAAATATCAAGAGACTAATGATTTATTGTTATCATTATTATGCATGTGCCTGTCCTTGACTGGATACTCAACAGTTGTTTGTCCATGGGATAATGGACCACTCAAAAAATACTAGTCCAATACAAAGACCAAACCCCTATTAGAAGACCCGACCCAACAAGGGCCCCATAAAAGTAAAAAAAAACCCACATACCCTATCGATCATGACTGGATTAACTTCGTCTCATCACAAGCGTCATACTCTAATGTATGAAACACTTGGTAAGGAGCATAATGCTTGAGGCACACACATCTGACATCCCCTCACATTATAAGAAACCTCTATAACAAATGATTATAACTAGACCACTCGCAGTCCTGTCAAGGAGATACATCCACCTCAATTGATAGACTCTCCTATAAAAAAATTAATGGGACAACTATGAAAATTTATGTCTTCGCACATTCCATAATATCCTACCATAAACATTGTATATGTTCCCCATATATAGCAAATAGTATATTATTAAGTCTTATAGAAAAAGAGATATATTACTACGACTAACTAGGTCAACCACCTCTCTTTATACGTTAACCTAGTCATTGGATGATTTTCCAAAAGTCAAGATGAGAATTTTTTGTGCAGGTCGTAAGACTCCAAGATAAAAACAAAAAACAAATCTTCATCACACGATCAGCTGATCAGCCAAAGAAAAGACACATCCAACCATTCAAATAATCCAAAGATTCACGACCTCATCAATTAGAATTTTCCTCAATTTACCTAATCACAGCAGGCGACCCCAAATAAACGAATTGAACTGCTTTTCCTCTTCAAAGATACCATTGAAAGACAACGCCGCTACAAATCGACAGGAAAAACGAAAAAAGAAAATCCTACAGAAGGCAGCCAGAAGAGTTCACGCTTGCCTTGGCTTGTGAAAAAGCTGTTCTTCACTCGAAACAAATAGACACAACTCCACAGATGATTCAACTGGAGATACAGTACTTCAGATACTTTCCCTGGTTGTCCTCTATTTTCTATTCTTTGGCTTATCATCATCTGAATACAATGGGAAGGAAAGGGACAACCGACAAATCGGCTTGCCCCCCTTCATGGCCACTCTTATAAATCAGTTACAGCCAGTTCATAGCAGTAAAAAATTTCTGACGATCGAATGACTTGTAATCAAAGTAACCACTTCTCAAAGGAAGCTTAATTCAACTTCCAATCACTAGTGATTTCAAAAAATAAGAGACAACATATACAAATGGAAAACCATGTGACTATTTTGATAATTTAGCTCATTCGAGGGTACTCGGACATTTTCTGGAGCTGAAAACGTCAAAATTTTAAGCAAAATCAAAATATACAATTAGCCCTCCTGAGCCTTTTTTAAGGAAAAAAATACAAATACAATAAACACGTTCAAACTATGATTGATGGAAAACAGTCAGATATATACAAAGTGATTCATATGGTTAAAAAAGTAGTGCCTATCTACACTTTAACTAACATGAATGTGGGGCAAAACAATCAAAACTCAACACCACTATTTATCTGTACAGAAAAGGAAGGTTGGCCAACATTGGAGAGTGGAGTATCAAGCCTCATAACAATTCCTGAGCTCCCAACATTACCATTCCACTTAGACCTGCCAATCTGCAATGGGGCCACCAAAGAAAACTGGATGTTAGACAATGATGAAAAAATAACACCGACAGTACCCCATTTACCTACAATCATCAATGTCTGAAACATCAGAATCAAAAATCTGTTCAATACTACGATGACCAAATGACATTATTAAAAAAAAAAAAAATAAGATTTAAGTGAAAAATAAACTGTTGTCTGGTTTTACAACGATACTGTGTTAATTCCAGGAAATCAAGCAACTCTGTTGTTGGAATCTGCTCACCAGAATTTTTGCCTACGTATCTAGATGCAGTACAACCAATATGTGCTGATGAGATACATCATTCAGCATCCACTCAAAAAGTTTTTACCGTTGTCACAAAAGAAATTCGTATTTACATGTTACAAGTGCAATTTGATGATTTGATGATAAGTTAGAGCAATTTGATGATTAAAAACTGCTTTCACAAACTTTTCTGTAAACAGGAAATTAGGAGGCGGGGAGAAGATTATTAACATTAATGGCCTCCTCATGCTAACAAAGTTGAGTTTGATTTGTGGAATTTTACAAATATTTCCTGAACTTTCACTTAGGAGATTACTTCAGATTGATGATCTTCTGAAGGTAAGAATTTTTTAATAGCTTAGGGAGAAAGCGCAAATATTGACCTGAACCTTCATTATGGTCACAAGTGGCACCCTGGTATCTGAAAACATATGATTTCCATTTAACATGAGACTTCATTTATGTCAAAAGAACTGCAATTTAAGGACCAATATGCATCTGGGTAAAGGTAGCATCTAAGAGAACTCCATTAATGATAATGATGACGATGTAAAATTCAAAAAAAAAAGAAAAAGAAAAACCTTCAAGACCATCATTGATTCCACCATGCAAGATGCCATAGTATGCATATTATGACCATAGGCAATGACAGAGAATCCTAGAATGGGGCACATATGGCATAGATGTGAATGATAATGACAATTTAATCCAACAACAAAGGACTCCTACAACTATTTTGTCCAACAGATGTATGCATCTCCACAGCACAACATAGCTAAACATGTTGAATGATGATGATAGGACAGAGACATGTTGAATGATGATGATAGGACAGAGACCGGAACTGGATAACCTCATCATTCAAGATTCCACTAGTTGTTTGGCATCTATTGTCTAATTTTTGTTTTCTCAAATTCTTTTTGTGGACTTTTTGTTATATAGTTTTTTTCTCTGTTGTTCCGAGTTTTTCCTCATGCAAATTGGCAACCAAAAAATTTGGGGTAATTAGATCCAGAGATCATAATTCTCATATATTTTTATTTGAAATCAGAGAAAGCTTGAGGTGTTTTAGATTGAAAAGGACCAACCGAATTATGTAGATGGTTCTGCATGTTCCCAGTAAACAGAAAAATAGGAAAATTAAGTTTGGGTAAAACCAAAAACAGTGTGCAGCGTGCTTCTAGATAAAAGAGCAATTTGATCTTTTAGTTTCTTGTACCTCCTCATTCAGAAAATCTTTCTGGCATCATTGTCAGAGCAGGAATCATAGTCTTTGAAACAATAGAGTGCAAGGTTTCGCAAACATTATGAAAAGCATTCAAATAGGTGGGAAGATGATTTGTTTCCAATGAAAGTGGTTCTGCATTTTTGCATACAAGATACCAATTGAAAGTAGCTGCTTTGGGTGCAGATGGCTTCACTCGAGAGGATTCTGATGAAGGACTACCAAATATAGGAAGCTTAATATTTCACAAACAGGTGTCCAGCTATGACCAACGAACAGGAACGTGAATTAACGGATTGCTTACAATTTATTGCTCTTCCAGCGAGTTCCAGCATTTTAACTTGTGCAGACTTTGATGCCAGTTGGACTAGCAAACTGTACCCCTTCATTTTAATGTGGATTAGTGGGTTGGAAAAGAATAGAATATTTCCTATGGCATGAAGGGTACATGATGAGATTAAACCTACGTTTCTTCAGATTCTTTCAGTTTCAATGAAGATAATTTATGGTGCTGTCTCCGTTCTTTTCTCTGTTTTGAGATCCTTTATCCTGCCATTCACTTGATTTTCATGAATAGGACCAGGTACAAAGTTCCCATACCTGGGTCCCATTCTGTCAACTACAAAGTAAAAGATGGACCAAGAGACCAAAGATTCTACCAAGCACAGGTATATAATCAAGACATAAAAATAAAAAAATATATAGACCAGCACCAGATAATGCAACATTACAACTTACCGATATAGATGCAAATGCAGAAGGGTGCGTCGTCGCAGCACAGCCACATATCAGATTCAGATGATCATTCACTGAATGAATCAGTTCTGCACGCAACCCAGGATTGCTTCCACCAAAAGTGGGGCACAAACTGACAAGATATCATTAGGAGTAGAAAAGGGTATTATATTTACTTATACCACCATAGAAGGTGAAAAATTTTGCTCATTTTAAACTATACACAACAAGAGTGAAGTGAATACACCGGAGTAAAGATAAGGTAAGGAAAAACAGGTTCTGGAAACATAGGACCACAAATTCAAATGGTAACCGGTGTGTATTTTGCCCTCAACAAGACCTACTTTGTTTCACCAGTATAATTATTCATGCTTTTGCCAAAAGTCAAACCATTCACCAGCATGAGATAATTGATATCAGAATACCATCAGGCCCAAGGAGTATCATCAAGATAATTAAAACCCAGCTGTCGTAACCCAACATAGCAATCATGTTCTCCAATGGCCACTTAATTGTTTATAGTGGAGTGGCGCTGATTAAAACAAGTAACTAAGATTGACCACAGAAAAAAGCAGGTCCAACCTTCATTTGGCACCATCAAGAAATGCAGACTGACCCTGGTTTGTGATTGTTTAACTATGGACTCAATGGAGCAAATTCAGAGGAAATCTCTGAATAACTAAAAGGAGGACCGTACATGCATAATGTGTGGATTTTTTCCTATTGACCAAATTCATCTGATGCCACCTTATAAGCATCGGGAAAATGAAAGTTAACACTGTCAGTGCCTAAAGCATTATGTTAAATAATGTATTAGAACAAGCAACTGCAATTAGTTCTGAAGGAATTTTTTCTACTTCTTTCTAGCTTCTGTTTACTATTTTTCAGATGGCAAACAGTGTTCAGTTATCTCTGTTGTGCTCATTCTTTTAATTAAATTACCTAACAGTTTCCAACAAAAACTAGTGTGCAGTTTAAAGGTTACATGGCATCCCAGTGATCACAACGCACCAGTTATGCTACCATTCAGAATTGAAGGCATAATTAGTGGTCAAATGGTAGTCTAAAACACAGAGGATCCTTTTTCTTTTTCTTTTCTTTTGCTTCTTCACTGTTTCTTCTGCAGTCAGCAATGCAGGTAATTCAGGATTTACTATTTCTGTTTTTCTTTTCTTTTATTTCTCCTTTTTTTTTTTTTTCCTTTTTTTATGGTTAGTTCATTGAGTTCCCTGGCTTCCATAGATTGGTCCAGAATTACATATAACCAGACCAAGGTACAAAAGGAACCACAGGATTACTTAAGATGATATTTTACAAGTTACTCAAAAGCATTGGAGAAGCTATCACAAAGTTCTTTTGCTCATCCCTTCCACATGTATGGCAAAACAAAGCAAGAGTGTAATTATTGAAATGAATATGAACAGTGTAATTTATTGAAATGAATATGGACGTAGAACATTACCTGAACTGAACTGTTGGCCTCACCATAAGACCAGATCTCTGCCATGCTAAGGATTGTGCAAAGCCTAATGTAAACGATTTGTCAGGCCATTGAACCATTGGTGTGATGCGTGTTCCCCACTTATTCTGATAAAATATTCAAAACAACAGGCTTAGTTCACACCATAATCAATGCTGATAAATCCACTGACATAACTTGAAATCATCAAGTACTGGCTGAGAAATTCAACACCTGACCTTACGAGAGAAGCTGAATCGCATTTCCCCAGGATATTGCCCCTGAGCTTGGAGAAGACCTCCGCGAAGAGGTAAGAAAGCACTGGTCGACAACCCCTCACCAGATACATAGGTCATTTGCCCATTTGGAAACTGTAAATCTACAAATGACTGCATGTTGAAAGAGACGAGAAGAAAGGTAAGTGAGAAATCAGCTCAGCATATATTAAAGATTTTAATGCTACAAAAAGACACAATTAACTGCATCCAAATCTTCATGCTTTCATTACACAGGTTATTGCTTCTGTACTCAATAGAATCACCAGGCAGTAGCAAGGCCACATATACCTGCTTTAGGAGAGGTTTGTGCTTGATGGCAGGAGGAGGAAGGATGGCAAGGCTGCTCAGATATTCTTACTTCTTCCCTTTTGAAATTAATTTCCACAAGCTCTCCTGCCCCCTCACCCAAACTAAACTCTAAATTTGGAATTTCAGCCTAGTAAAATAGTGTATTGATTTCCATTAATATCGTTGCCTTGCTACACTTTCCCTTCCCAAGAAATTTTTACTTGGTCTGAAGAAGGGGAAATGGCATGACACTAGATGACTTTTAAAACAGTGAATAAACTATAAATTTTTTCCAACTATGAAACATCATATGCACTGACAAAAAAGCTCGTTTTGGGAGGGATGAAAGAAAGAAATTTGTTAGAATGGAAAGCATTCATAGGAGACATTCAATCAAAAGAACCTAACACAAGAGAGCACTATGATTATGTTGAATACCAGCTAAACACTACTAAAAGACCCTAAAGCATTATACCATTAATAAGTGATGAACACTATCCTATCTCACAAACATTGCCTCGAAGTAAGGATTACACTTACTGTTTTCACTTCATTGATTCTACAAGATGTAGAATACAGCCTATTGCTCTCGGCTACCCACACCTTTGATTAAGCTTCATACCAATATGAGGATTGAAACATTTACTGATTCTAATGCCTTTCATACCTTAAAAGGAGCTATAACTTACACAAGCTAAAGGGTTGAGACAGAGCATTGACATTAACAACCACCTTCTATGCTTTGACCACACAGCTGGACAAAGAGAATGCATTCCAGTCTGACAAAGAAACCAGAAAAATGGCACATGAGAAGAACAGATTAATAAAGCAATTATAAAGAAATATCCAAAGCAAATTCTAGTATAGAATAAGAAAAAACTGATTCTCAATGAACTGTTAGGTATTGAAAAACAAAATGACAAATCAAATAAAGGCAGCAAACATGATCAACAACAAAGGATCTAAAGATATGGCAGCTAAAACGTAAATACTAGGTATTTATGGTGACGTCTATATCAGCATATGCACCAAAAATCAACAATTTTGACATAAAAAATAAGTACGGAAGAAAGATTGCCATTAAGCTTAAAAAATGCAATTAATAGGAATAGCTGGAAATCAGTAAAAACAAGCGCGGTTGAGCAAACAACTAATGTTTAGTGATACTTAAGCTCACATCTCTACAGCCCATAGCCATTTCTTGTCAAGCTTCAGGTAAAACCTGAAGCTTGAGGTCACATACATTTGTTTGATAGATGGTTTTTTCCTTGTTTGATTGAAGGTTTATAACAGAATATCTGAAAGCTTAAGCATCTTTTGCCACACTTCTACAATCGCATCTATTTTTACACTTCTACGAAGTAAACAGAAAATTGGCCATACCTTCCTATCATAGCCATACCAAAGCAAGTGTTGCTTTGACAGATGCACGGGCAGAAGAAAGGTTGAATCACGCACGATCAGCACAGGTCCAAGCTGGACAAGGAACAGAGATGCATTATCATTTCCTGATGTGGAACTTCCATGTGATGCCTCTACCCTCCATAAATCTCCCCTTGCAACCAAAGAACTCTCAATGTTGTGAGTTCTGCTGTCATAAGTTGAGGTAATGTTTATGGTCCCCTGCATCCAGTGGAAATGAGCCATAAAGAATTGCACAAATGGAATACAATTACAGCCAAATTCATAGCCTTCAATTATCATCACAGCAAGGGCAATGGGAAAAACTAATACAGCAGGAAAACTTTTTGCTGTCCATCTGTACATAGAATTCTTTTGGCCAAAATGAACTGAACCTAGATCCATGCTATTGCCCCTTTAAGCTACTATATCATGCACAAGCCTCCATCCAAGTACATGAGGTTACATGTAATCATAACATGTTATTGCCCTTTATTATTCCTCTATCCATTCTTTCATGCGTTTCACTTACAGTTGTGGAATCTCCTATTTGAATAAATCACTCCAACGAAAGCATGTATAGAAAGAACATTATCAGCCAACACAAGCACTCTTGCTACTTGCAGCCAATTCTTTTACCTTGTTGCCATAAAGAACCAAATTGAAACATACAGAGATTGAAAAAAAGAAGGAAATCGACAATGATGCATTGAGAAATGCACAAAAAATAGTAGAGGCAAAAATTCAAGCACGAACCTATTAAAAATCCTAGTGAGATTACATCTACTTAAACAATGTGTTAACGACTAAAATGAATTAACTAAAAAAAAATCACAATAACATCAGAAGAAATGAAACAGTGGGACTTAATCACTTCTGCAAGTGTTGCTTGATGTTGTTCAGATCATGCAAAATTTAAATATCAAGGCAAATTGTGTTTTGACACATTCTGCAACAAGCTACAGGTTACACCATAGAACCTCTCCTTCAGTTGCATATAGCTTGCCTAGATTCCATCAAATGCGACCTTGCTACAGAACCATATCCAACTAGTAATTCTATATGCATGATCAACCACATTATTCAAGGAAAAGCTCCCCTCGGAAACAATGAAAACCACAAGGATACTACACTCCTCTCCAAACCTTTTAAGTCCCTCGAGACATTAACTTAAATATACAGCACAAAGAAAAGTAGATCATTAGTGAGATTATAACAAACATAAGCGACCCTAGAAGGAAAGCAAGTCAACATTTGTAAGACAAATTGCTTTTAAAACGAAGAATGTCGGCCAAAGCAGAGAGGAGGTAGGTGTAATCTAGTCTTCTTTGTTATAGACACGGTCGTTATCAAATGGAATGGCATATTGCTTCAAATGTTCAGTTGCTTCCAGATAGGTGGTACTAGCTAGACTGGATGCTGTACTATTGTAAACTTTGTATCAGCTAATACTTTTAAAAAGAAATAGCCTTTCTCAAACAGAGTCCTATTGCTTCAAATGCATCACCGTTTCAAATAGTCTAGATCGGGTACCGTACCATTTCTGTGAACTTCCTACCCACAATCTATTGAAAATCAATCAAATCACATCCTCCATAAATCTGCAGGACCAAGAAATTTTCCTAGCCGAGTTCCAAAAGATAAATTATCACTTCCAACCAAACAGTTAAACAGACATTTAAGGTTAAAAATCTAATAGGTGATCTATTCCTTCAATAGCTTTAGAAACTGTACATAAATTACCGTTGTTGTATGAAATAAGCACTTCTACGCTAACAAAACAAACATAATTAAATTCTTGAACACAATAGCGTTTAAAAGTCATTACCTGTGGTTTACCAAGATATCCCACACCCTTCAAATTTAACCCACCAATCTCCTCTTCCAACAACCCCTCCACTCCACCACCACCACCACCACCACCAACACCACCATTATCCTCCACAAACCCAAAATCCCTCAACCTTTCACTAACCAAACCCAACTCTCCCTCCAAACCCAGCCCCACCTCACTCCTCTTACCATCCATCCTCACCCCAAGCCGCACACTCTCCTCCTGCTTAAACGGCAACGGCAATATCCTAAAAAATTGATGCACCATCCCATTCAAAGCCGCACCAAAATCAGCCCCAGCTTGTCCAATCCTATTTCCAACATCCAAAATCGCTGAAAACCCATTTATACCAGAATTATCAGTCAAAACCCCAAAATCCCCTTTACTAAAACCATGTGCCGGAAACTCCAAATCGAAAAGCTTCGATTTTGGAGGGTTTGGCCAAGAAAAAGCAGGTGGGTGAGTGATATGTGACTGTATAAGGCCTGAAAAGCCTTGAGCTAGCCGGTCGGCAAGGTCCTGGCCATGCCTTTGGACCTCTTCCCATGCTTCAAATGATCTTTCTACCGACATTCGGCTGTGAAATTCAAGAATTCATGTGATTTTCAATAATGGGTATTCGACAAATTTATTAAAAACACACAAATTTGAAGGTCTTGGTGATTTTATTGACAGAAAAAGGCTAGGTCTTTAAGGGTAAGCCTGGGTTAGCTGACAGTGGTAGTTGTAGAAATGATCATATATACTGCAAGGAAACTAAGAACAGCTTTTTAATTAAAAAAAAAAAAGGACAAATCAAACCATAAAATCTAAAACCAATATTTCAAAACATACAAAATTTCAAGCTTTGATTTACACTTTTAAGCTTTTTTAAAAAAAAAAAATTAGCTTTTCGAGCTTTGAAAGAAATGAATTTTAGGGCTTTGTTTTGCTTAAACAGAGGAATCAAAGTGGGAAATTGGGTATCTGAAAGAGAAGATAGGGGATTTTGTGTTTTTTAAATAGAGTGGAGACCGAAGAAGCGATTTTTTGAGTGTGAAAGGGGGAGGACGTGAAAATGTGCACCGGGGGTATACTGCGCACATATATTGCTTTGCTGCCACGTTGATATTATTTATTACTTGTGGCTGGTTAAGGATAAAGATATTATTGAAGACAGGAATGCTTGAGGGACGAGACGAGGATACTGTCACTCCCAATCAAAATGACAGTCACCTTAGTGGTTTTTTTTTTTTCTTTTTTTTTCAGTTTCAGCTTTATTTGGAATTTGGAATTTGGAATCGGAAAGCCTAGAATGGAAGACCATCATATTTATCTCTATGATAAATTATATCGTTTTAGTAAAAAAAATTTGCAATTTTTTAATTCAAAAACAGAAATACAATCTAAATCTTTGAGATTCTCATGTGATATCAATATGTTAAATTATAATCTAATTGGTATTTTTAATTTCTGATTTATAAGTTTATTTATTAATTATTTTATATTTATTCTTTTCGAGCAAATGAGCCCACATTAAACTCGGTTGATTCTAAATTATCGAATCTATATTATCAAAAACAAAAAAAAATCAATTATCAATAAATTGTTAGTCTAATGGTAAACGAGCTCATTAGACCGGTTGATTCTAAATTATCGAATCTATATTATCAAAAACAAAAAAAAATCAATTATCAATAAATTGTTAGTCTAATGGTAAACGAGTCAGTTTCGAACGAGTTTCATATTAATGTATAGGTTTCAAGTACTAAAATCTTTCTTGTTGGAGGAAGTTAAATTACATCACTCTCGTTACGAACGGCGTTAGTCATATTCTAATGTGAAATTAGGATACTTGTCTAAAAAAAAAAAATCAAATTTTCATGCATATTTTTTTTAAGAGAACTAAAAATTTTTAATTACATACCTTAAATTAGTTGATCAAGTAAATTGCAAGGTGGTAGATGAAATTAGGTTGATTATACCCAAAAACACCTTAATGAAATTATTTTTAACTTTTTTAAATTTTAAATTGATTAGTTATCAACTACTAAAAAATAATATATATTTATGATTATCAAATAATTTATGGAAATCAAACATTTTTCTATTTATATACATAAAATAACGAGACACTTAGGCACTTTAGCAAATACGATTTTACCATTTATGGTTAAAAACATGTTAAAATAATTGTTTCGTTTTTTTATTACTACCGTGTTGATTCAATGAGTAAAAGAATATTGTTTGAATTATGAAAATCAAATTGATCTTAAATCATGCACGTGAAATTGTATATTATTAACCACAACAATTATTCTCATACTTTTTTTTTGGCATTTTATGGCTGAAATTTTATCAAAGAACCATCTCTATTCTATAAGTTTAAATAGTTAACCGAGATTTTAAAATAGTTTTATATTAACTCTAACACACCACATTAAATAAAAATCTTTTGAATTAGAAAATTGCTCGGACTCATCATTGCTTTATACTCGAAATTTTTAATTTAACGAAAAGAGTGAGAATGTTATGATTCAAACTAATTTTATGATTCAAACTAATTTTCCGACATTATGACATAGGGTTATTTGAAGAATAAAGTGTTAGGAATCAAACTCTTAATTTTTATTTGTTATTAAAATTTTAATACCATATCAAATTATTATTATTAAAAAAAAATACTAAGAAGCCCAACAACACTCGTAAATCTAAGCAAAAGCATAAGCATGCCAACCTAAAATTTAGCATGATAGAGAAGCCAAAATGCTCCCACAACTACAACTAAGATTTTGAAGTCTAGTAAACTAATATAAGGACTAGCCTAGCAAGGGAAAAAAAAACAAACAAACGAGAGGGACGGGAAGTGCCAACAATTATGTGTTACCAAAAAGAGACCACACTTGAACATTTGAGAACATTAAAGAGACCTCCCGAAGATAAAACAAACACACTACAACCTCAAAAAAAAAAAAAAAAGCGCAACGATTGCTTATGAGAGGAAGTGTTGGAGATTGATGTCCCATGTAAATAGGAGATAGGGAAAATACGCAAGCATATAAGTAACAAGGCACTAACCACCAAATGGCTTTCATATTTGGGTGGGAGATTGGTCCAACAATCAATACGGACTCAACTATTAAATTAAATATCGTGGCAAAACCATTAAGGTCCAATAATACCATCAAGATTTTTGAAGGTGGAGTTTAAAAGAAATTATTTTTTAAAAAAATTTATATTGCATCTAGAGTCTTAAAGAAACCATTATATATATATATATATATATATATATATATATAGACCAACCATTGTTATACATTACGTAACCTTGTCTTTGATGATGTTTCATCATAGTGGTCACTACAATAAGTGATATTACGTTCTTGGTGGGGTTTAGGGTTGTGTGTAGGTATGGTGTGAGGTGATTGACGACGGTACGGTGAGGTGTCCGTAGGGTGATGGAATGAGTGTAAAACTATGTTTAGGGTTTCCTAGTTCTTTTCGATTAGTTAGGTGGCAACTCCTTGTTCCGAGCCTCCTACAGTGGCTAACATCTATAATTTTATGCATAAATTTTTAATTTAAAGAAAAGAATGAGGATGTTATGATTCAAAATAATGTTTCGATATTGTGACATGGGGTTATTTGAAGAATAAAGTGGTAGGAATCAAATTCTAAGTTTTTTTGTTGTTAAAATTATAATACCATATCAAATTATTATTAATTCAAAAAAAAACTAAGAAGCCTAAGAACACCGTAAATCAAAGTAGAAGCATAGGCATTTCAACCTAAATTTCAACATAATAGAGGAGCCAAAATGCTCCTACAACTATAACTAAGATCCCGAAGTCTAGTAAGCTAATATAAGGGCTAGCTTAGCAAGGGGGAAAAAAACAAACAAAGAGATCGAAAGTGTTAACAATTATATGCTACCAAAAGGAGACCACACTTGAACAGATGGGGAACATTAGAGAGACCTCTCGGAGACAAAACGAACACACAACAACCCAAAAACAAAAAGCACAAGCAGTTGTTCATGAGAGAGTGTTGGAGACCGATGTCCCATGTAGATGGGAATCGTGAAAAATAAGCAACATATAAGTAACAAGGCACCAACCACCAAATGGCTTCCACATTTAAGTGGGAGATTGGTCCAACAATCAATACGGACTCAACTATTAAATTAAATATCATGGCAAAACCATTGAGGTCCAATAATACGATCAAGATTTTTTAAGGTGGAGTTTAAGAGAACTAAGGGAAAATGCTAGCACATAAATTAGATCGGTAAGAATTTGATGAATATTCATTGCTTTGAATTAAAGAGAGTTACAATTTAAGTGTAATATTTCTTTACATCATCCGAATTCACCGACTTGGACGAGTTCATCACCATCCATGTTTGTCAAAATGAGAGCTCCGTCGGAAAATATCTTTTTCAGCATGTAGGGACCCTCATAGTTTGGGGCCCATTTACTCCGACTCGCCCCGATATCTTCGACACCTTCTTCAATACTAATTTCCCTTTCTCAAAACTCCTCCATCGCATCTTTTTATCATACGCTCCGGCCATTCTTTTCTAATACGATTGGGCATGACATATGGTCGTAAGTCGCTTCTCACTTATTAGATTCAACTTGTTTGTATTAAATTTTTGCCCATTCAAATTCTAGTGGCATCACTACTTCCATTCCGTATACCGGAGAGTAAAGAGTCACTCCTATTGAGGTTCTAATAGCTGTTCAAAAAGCATGCAAGGCAAATGGTAACATCTCATGTCGCCTTTTGTATAACACCGACATCTTTTGGATAATCTTCTTCAAATTCTTATTTGCGGCTTCCACGATTTCGTTCATCTTAGGTCTATACGAGAGAGGAATTACGAGTGCTTTATCTTTCATGGTCGGCATAAATCGTTATCATTTTTTCTTGAAGTTTTGAGCATTGTATGTTACCAAGGTTTCGGGAGAGCCATATATGTAGATTATATCCTTTTCAATAAATTAACAAACAACCTTCTTAGTCATATGCACAAAGGAAGCAATCTTAACCCACTTGGTGAAATAATCAATTGCTACTAAAATAAAGTGATGACCATTGCTTGCCTTAGGATTTATCGATTCGATGATATCCATGCCTCACATTACAAACGGTCGAGCGATACCATGTTGAAAAGGGGTACTGGTGGAGCCTTTATCCGATAAGTATGAATCGATATTTGTGACATTTTTGGACATAGTCGATGTAATTTTTCTCCATAGTGGTTTAAAAATAGCCACATCATTGAATCTGTCGGGTCATCATATGTCCATTAGCATGTGTGGTACGGATATCCCTTCATAAACCTCTCTTATATTTTTTTTGTTCGACCGCATCCAAACATCTCAACGAGAGTCATCAAAACTTCTTTTGTATAAGATTTCACCGTCAAGATAAAAATTTATGGTCAACCTTCTTAGCATCTTTCTATCATTCTTGGTTGCATCGATTGGATACTCCCTATTCTTGATAAACTTTTTGATGTCATGGTACCACGACTTCCCGTTTAGCCGCTTCTTCAATCAAAACATAACGGTATGTAGGAGCATTTCTTG